CACCAATCCATTCTGTCCTTGTTTAACCATCTCACTGTCCACTGCAACATCTATGTGTTCTTGCTTTTGCATCTCCATGCTGTTGTGCACCCCAATCTCTGCAAATTCCAATTTACATTGACATTAGAAACTATAAATGAAACCTCTAAGGATGCCTTTTAATTCCTAGATTTTTTTGTTAATTCAAAAAGGAAAATAACAAACAGAAGTCAAGGACAGTGCGTCTCTTTCTGAGTAACAATTTAAACACTTAAAATTCAATGGGTATTTGCTGTTGCTTAGAAAAGCATTTGTCAGCAAAACATTGCCCTTCACACTGAATTCAAATTTAACCAAAATGCTGAAAATCTACAATTGTATTGAGTGTTACCTGCTTGGATATGTTGCTTCAATGAAGGCATGTGCTCATAAACATGGGTAATGGTGTTTTCAACTGAAATCACATCAGTATTTGCACATATTAGGTGGCTATCTTAGTTTAAATGTTGTGATACAGTTAACCATATTTTTATTATTCAACTAGACAAGTTAATAAAACTTGTCACCCAATGGGTAATCTTATGAAAAGCTGATGTCCAGGTGCCAACAGCTGTGAGGCAAAGTTCTGAGTTTGAAACAGTTAGCTTGGTTCCCAAATTGAGCCAAAAATGCTGTTTCAGTGATACATGTTTTAGAAAGAATAATAATCAACTTTCGGTTGCAATTTGATACCTTAAAGTTCTTTTTGAATAAGCTTAACACAAATTGACAAACCTACCAATTGACATATAGGTGATATTTTCAGGAAAGCACAAGATAAGATACAATAAGATTAGATTACAATCTACAACAACCAGACAGATAGAAGGGGCTGATTCAAAATTTCTCATTTATCAGCTTTCATAGCATTTTCCTTTATTTCCCTTTTACAAAGTATCACAAAAATACAAATAATTTTTTGGAACCACACAATTAAGAGAAAAAAAAAGGCAATTATATTATTGCCATATCTAACATTGTGAATAAATTATGTAATGGCATTATATTTATAATTATCCTATTTTTTTAATTGTTTTTGCTTAAGTTTGATGCATAAACTGACTGATAGAAACAGGTAGATTAAATTTGAGTTTGATATCCTTCAGTTTCTATAAAAATTGTAAAAAGTGGGTCATCCATGTAGCTTCCAATTAGAAGCACTAACTGTTGTAGCCATTAGTCAAGTATTCAGGGGGAGGGGAATGGCAGGTAAGGTTCTATGCAAGATTCCTATGCTTTTGATTAACAGCTACATGCAAGACTACTTTTTTTTGTTTTTACAGAAACTGAAAGATATCAAAGGTTATTAATTTGAGGAACCCACAATAAAAATTTTAATGCCCCTTACACCTACTCTGGCTGCCACTGATCTGCATGCCCAGAGGCCTGGTCTGGATAGCTCTTCTTACATCCATCATTTTCACACTCAGATTTAAATTTTACAAAACTTATCTTCCTATGGGCCTTGAAATTAGAGTAATTTTTGTTGTACTTTGAACCTTTTTTGCTTCGTTTCACGTGTCGTATTCTTGGTCACAAAAAATAATTTTATCTGCACTTGTGGCTACATGGAACGTAAAATTCGTCATACTCACCAAAGATTGCATTTTAACCAGGGGGCTGTATCAAAGTTATCAAATAAGAAACAAATAGAACCGAATGAATTGCTATTTCACAGGTACGTGAGTGTTGTCCTCTCAAGCGAACGCAGAGAAAGCGCGGCAATTTCCCGCTTATTTTTAATGTTTTCAGTAGCCAATCAGAGCAGAGTGCAATTCCAGCATTTAGTCTGTACAGCGGCATTCACAGGAATCGCACCAGTGTACACCAATCTCTCCAACCGAACAACATGTCTCGTGTTCTTGATGTGTCACAAGCCCCCGTTTGAAATTCTACGAACGACTATTTTCTGTACATTTTATTGCTTCCATTGACCATTCGAAATGTACGTCAGTAAATGGGGGAAATTTAATTGCTATGATATGACAAATGATTCAGTGTTATTCTCTTGTGCGTAAAGCTTCGAAATGATTTCTGCGAAATTCGACGCTGTCTATAAGCTTTTTATAAAATCGTTGCGACACACAAGCGTAGCTTATTGATGAGATGCTTATCGTCGTTTGGGATCTTTCTATTAATATCATACCAGTATTTTGTTTGACTTTGTTTACAGTAGCTCTTAAATATTAACTGGAATTGAAATGCTATTCATATCTCCCAATCACAGGTCGGTGCAATTCCTGCATTTAGTCGCTAGTGGGTGTAAGATATTGGCAAGAATAGCTCACGGTTATGTCTCTTAATTCGGCACAAAATAAGTGGTTAACCTACTTAGCTCGACGCTTTCTCTTAAATGAATGTGTTTTCTTCCCTCTTCTAACAGAAAGATGTCTGACGACGTGTCGCTGAGGAGACAACGAGCATGCTTGGGTGAGGGCTGCGACGATTGTTATGTCATGGACATGTACAGTCTTGTGCAACCAGGACAGCATAGCAACTCTGAGCTTCGCAAGCAGCTTTTCCTCTATCTGACCAAAGATGGAGGCCGGGAGAGAAAACGTTTTCTACAGGTATCTTATAAGAAATGTGATGAAGAATATCGTTGTCGATAAGAGTAAAGACCACGCTAAACCACTGTTAATTTGTTTTTAACCACAATATAGACGTCAAATATAAGGATTCGTTTAGTGCCTGACAATATGCGAGCAGCGTTGTCTGTACTCTTATCGACAACGGCAAATTGGCCTATCAGATCACGACATTACTGCCAATTGTAGAAAAAATTAATACGCTGTGATGGTTCCTTTCCAGGAGAGATGCTGGATCATAGTTCACTTCTCTCCAAATATCTAAAGAAATGGAAACTTCAGCCGAATTCATCGATTGCGGAGATGAAGTCTTCTTTAAGAAATCGAGAAGTACTTCGAGAGGGTTGGGGGGGGGGAGTTCTGTCAGTTATTTAGCATTTGAATTTCAGTTTTTATTGCCACAATGCAACCTTCGGAATGAGCTGAGAATTTTTGCTTTTTTTAGAGAGTGATAATGAATGGGAAAAAACATTGTGCAAAATGCGTTTAAATTGGCTAAACCTGATGAGTAATTTTCCAATCTGGCTTTTCCATAATTCCATGTAGCTTAGTTGGCTACTGTTGGGTTAATGAAGACAAACACCCTCCTACTTATGCATTTCTTGATTCTCATCACTTGATTACCGTGTGAAGTAGTAAAATTTTGAGGAAAATTTGAATTCAAGTCACATCTGGGACTGAAATGACTTGACCATGAGTTTGGAACTGAATAACAAATGAGGTATTGTTGTAATGCTGTTTTTAGGAGGAACAAACTCGACTTGGCTTGATCAAGGCATACACTGATCGACTCTGTTTAAAAGAGAAAGGAGCCAAGACAATTATTGCACATTTGAAAATGGGAGATTTTCAAGCCGTAAAAAAGGTATTAACTGATTTCTGTAAACTCCATTACAACGTAACAGTAAAGGAGTTAGATAGCAACTTAAACATGTGCTTTCTCAGCTAAAGTACTAGTTAAAAATACTAGGGTGAAAAATAATACCAAGAAGGCAATTTTGAAGAAAGAATTTCATGCAGTGAGATTGAAGAAAAGGTCATGTATGTAATCAAGTTTTGTGTAGAGATGGAGTTTCAACTGAGGTTATATTCTTCCGTTAAAAAGTTTGTGATTAAAACTGTTTTGTAGTTGTCCTGCAGACAGCGGTCATCTGATCACTGCACTTTGGGGCCCCTTCAACGAGTGTGACTGGTCTCTTAAAGGATTTTGTTTAACAGACTTTTTTTTATATTGTTATTGCATGCACTGACGGACGCAGCTGGAGAGAACAAAAATCGACGAGTTCAAGCTACCAGAGAAACTCAGCTTTACTCTTCCGCTTGGTAATGCAACTTCTCTGAAGATCGCCGCATTACTGACGAACGAACAGAATAAGAGTCTGCTTGAAACAGAGCACTTTGAGGTGAAACTGCCGGTGGTAAGTGATGTAAAATCAATCGATCGTCAAAATAACAAAATATATAATCAATTGGATAATGATAAATTCACCAATCAATTGAACCTGCAGGTTATCCTTTTGTGGAATTGTTTTGATTATTTACAATGACAAAAATGAATTGAGGGAACAAATGACGTCAGGAATAAGTAACGACGCTTGAGAAACACCTTTCTTTGACAAACTGATAAGTGAAAATTAATGAGAAAGCGTGACATGGAAAATTTTCAGACCGCGCAAAAGGTACATATTCATATTCTTAAGGTTATCTGCTGAAATATACGTTAGAAAAGGATCGCGATCACATCGAATGTTCATGGATTAAAGTGCAGTGAAATTAGCTGCTGTGTGTTGATTTCATGAGGTTAACACCTTCTTTACCTTCTATCTACCATAATAATAATAATAATAATAATAATAATAGCTTAATAATATTTTTATGTTAAGGAATTTAGGAATTGCCATAGTTCGCTCAATATGGCGAAGTGTATTAAGAACGAGTATCTGGAAGAATCAAATATCTTGGGAAATGAAAATTTTCAACTCCCCTTCAAATTTTGCATGCAGTTAAGCACTCAGGGGGGATGCACAAAAATGCCCTTTTTAAAGGTTGCAACACTCTTGGCTGCTTGTTCGAGGCCTGGGGCCTCATTTTCATACAAAAACATCGCAGAAAGTGTAAAATGTTTATTTCTCTATCTCAAGCTAAATGCAACATTACAGATTGGTACTTCTAGCATACATAGTGACATCATTTGTCTTTAACTACTTTGATGCATTCTATTTTCCCTGGGAGTGAATGTGAACATACCAGCAGTTTATTCATCTTGGTACAGTTTCGGTCGTTTTTGCTGTAGGGTAAAACGGGGAAAATGTTTGTCTAAATTTCTCCAAAAGTACACCGATTCTGGAACTGAAACTACGCACTTAGTTCTTTATAACATTCTAGTTTTTAAATATGGAAAAATCTCTGCGGGTCGGCCCCTACTTTTCATAGTGGCAATTCGCGAACGAAACTCAAAAATCAGATATTGCATAAATTGGCAATGTTTACATCAAATGTTCTCAACAACAAACGTTTCAGACAAATGAAAAGTACAAGACTTTGAAAGAATGTTATCTTCTGAGCAATATCCCAAAGAGAAATTTCGCCTCTAGCTTTTATATTTTTAAAAAATTTGATCAACCTTCATGGAGCACTACCCGACGTAACTACAAACATGTACCTTAAACGTGCGCATATCATCCAGATTCCGAATACTGTACCTTCTTTCATGGGAATTTGAGCTATCCGAAATCCTCTGATGATACACCGTTATACTTGTCTGTCATTTGAAACATGTTAAAGTTAGCTGATCTACACGAAACTATCGTAACACCAGTCATTTGTGACAAACATGTATGTTATCTTAATAGCATGACGCTGGATTTCTCCATGAAGTTTCCATAAGATCGCTCCAAAGAAGACGAGAAACGGACATTTTTCGATATTGCAGCAGATTTCCGCGCATTCTGAAATAAAACAACCGAAAAAAAAAAAAATAAGAGAGGAAAACCCTGATTAAACGTTCGTAAACATTGAGAGTGAGGACAGAGCTGAATAACGTATACGCATGCGCCAGGTTTTGCCGCGGAAACACGGATTTTGAGTCGTTCCCATGGTTGATTTCCTATTCTGTTGCTTCGAGGCGTCGTTTTCCTTGCCACTTTTCTTTTACAGAACAACCTCCAAAAACTTTGTACACCCGCTAAAGATTTTCAAAAATAAATTTTGCCCGTAAAACCTCTTGAAATAGGAAAATGCCTTCGACGAAAACAGTGTTCCTTAGTTTAAAAGTCAGCCCACATTATTTTCCGCTAATTTCGTTAAATTTTAGACCTAGGACATTTGAGCCCGCGTTCTTGACCGCATTGCCTCTGACTTAGCAATTTATTATTCAGCTCTGTCAAGAGTGAGAGTGTAAATCACAACTTGTCAGCGGTAGTACTACATGTAAAACCCACCACTCGCGCGAAAACTATACCCTTATTACAGCAAATGGAAGAGGGATTTTATAATAATCATTTTCCACAAATTCAGCTTTTTTCAAGGAATCTTTTACATGCTTGAACAATATTTTGGCTTTGAGCCTTGAGATTTCTTTTTCTTGGAAATAAAATGCTATAGTAAGTGCCTACAAAATTACAAATCGGTGTCGCATAGACCGAGGAGTACAGATTTGTCACTGATGAACCAACGGGCATAATCTCCTCAGTTATTAGCACGATAATCTCCACAAACTAACGTTATTGGACCGAACGATCTCCTCCTTCTTCCTGGTGAGCCGGCCACCTCAGGCAGAAGTTAGAGACCTTTGACTTCCTGTCGTGTAAATCACCGGAAGATTGCGTTATATTCATCTTTCTTTAAGCTTACAAAAGATATCCAGGAGAAAAATTGTGGAAAATAATCGTGATGAAATCACTGTTCTTTTTCTTGAAGGACCTGAAGCAATCCAGATTACATATTAACCATGAGGAGTTTCATTCCAGTTATGAGTTGAGCTTTGCATGTGGATAATTAGTAGTTTTGAAAGGTGGAATTATGACATTATGATTTTATTGAACCTTTTATTTCGAACTTTGTTTTGATGTTTTCTTGATCGAGACATGGAAGGAAACATTGACTTACAAGATTGTACTTCGGCAGTGATAAGTCTCACGTTATCAGATCTTATGCAAATTTTCTGACAGTTTTCTAACAGTTTTCAGATGATTCGAAATATTTCAGTTCCTGTCACCCGGAAATGACAACTGCCTGAAGCTTCTCTTTGTAAGGAGAGGTAATACATCGTACAAATTGCTATTGCGGCAACTAGGTTTTACATGTAGTACCACCGCTGACAAGTTGTGATTTATACTCTCACTCCTCACTCTAAATGTGTAAGAGCGTTCAATCAAGGTTTTCCTCTCTTTTTTTTCGGTTGTTTTTACTTCAAAATGCGCGGAAATCTGCTGCAATATCCAGAAATTTCCATTTCTCGTCCTCTTTGAGCGACCTGATGGAAACTTCATTGAAAAATCCGGCGTTACGCCATCGTGATAACGTACATGTTTATGACAAATGACCGGTGTCGCGATAGATTCGTGTAGATCAACCAACTTTAACATGTTTCAAATGACAGACAAGTATAACGGTGTATCGTCAGAGGATTTCGGATAGCTCAAATTCCCATGAAAGAAGGTACAGTATTCGGAATCTGGATGATTTGCGCACGATTTAAGGTACATGTTTGTAGTTACGTCGGGTAAATATTAAAACATTAAATATTAAAGCTAGAGGCGAGATTTCTCTTCGGGATATTGCTCAGAAGATAACATTCTTTCTAAGTCTTGTACTTTTCATTTGTCTGAAACGTATGTTGTTGAGAACATTAGATGTAAACATTGCCAATTTATGCAATATCTGATTTTTGAGCTTCGTTCGCGAATTGCCACTATGAAAAGTAGGGGCCGACCCGCAGAGATTTTTACATATTTAAAAACTAGAATGTTATAAAGAACTAAGTGCGTAGTTTCAGTATCGGTGTACTTTTGGAGAAATTTAGACAAACATTTTCCCCGTTTTACCCTACAGCAAAAATGACCGAAACTGTACCAAGATTAAAAATCTATTGGTGTGTTCACATTCACTCCCAGGGAAAATACATTGTTACCATGACAACAAGAGTGTTGCAAACTTTAAAAAGGGAATTTTTGTGCATCCCCCCTGAGTGCCTAACTGCATGCAAAATTTGAGGGAGGGGTTTAAAATTTTCATTTCCCAAGATGTTTGATTCTTACAGACACATTCTTAAGATTGAATTAAGGGATGTTAGATGTTTTGTTACGTTTGAGCGTTTCAATAGTGACATATGGAACCTTAAGTATTGAGGTTTTTTACTTCATAGCGATTAAGTTTAAGACTTTTATTGCTATGACTAGGAATTGCTAAAGGAATTTTAACTGTAAGGACTTTGGTCGGTCCATCGGTTGGCTACGGCTTGCCGCCCAATCACTGTTTAGGATATCTGGGCATCCAGAAGTTTTTACTGCCATGTAATAGGTTTTTATTTAGAGAGGGTAAAAACACTTAACAGTAACCCCAAGACATTGATGACTCTGTGGGCCTCAAAAACCTTACCACCCTAGTAGGAAAAAGTGTTTCATCGATAAAGAATAATCAGTTTACTTAAATTTTTCCCGCTAGACTCATCTGGAAGAGACAAAACCAGCGGTTGAGCATGACCACACCTCTCAGTAAATAAAAGAACAGAGGTTCTATCAGTGAAGGGGTGGAGAGACGCGCGACGCTGTGGTCGCGACTCGCGCCAAATGCCGTGATTGGACGCACTACTTTAGTCGCCCGAGGTGGCGGCCTGGGGACTGTCCAGGGTCGTGAGCCTGCAATGTTTTGCAGATGACGCAAGTGCGAAGCCCTATGTTGACGGCACAGACGGCGGTGGAAGACGTCTTATCGTTATAAGTCTCTATGGTAGATCATTATTTGCAGCGTGTATTGTTTATCCACGCTCTCCGGATTAGTAAGAACTGATGTAAATATAGCGACTCAACATAGTTTTATCGAGAAGAGCTTTGATCACCTGTAAACAAAATCTCTTCGATTGTAATCTACATCATCTGAAGACTTTTTTTAGTAAGGCATCGTAACCAGAATGTTATATATCAGCACAGTTTTAATGCTGTGTTTGCTGTAGTAAAATAAAGATAGTTATGCCGAGGTCAAGTTTCGTTTATTTCTCCTTCTTTTTCCTTTTTTGTTTGTTTTTTTTTTCCGAGGGGGAGGGGAGGGATAGAGGGAGGAGGGGAGTGGGGTGTACGTGAATGTACTGATGCATGGGTTATTAAGGCTTGAAGGCAATGGGTCGAATCATGAATCAATATTTGTGGTCGTATGGTTACAAGGGTACAGTGTTTCATTATTTTCAAATTTTTCACTCTAAAATTGTTCAAGTCGCAAAGGCGTTCTACACTACCTAGTTAACTACAACTTTAAATGGAATTTAAATGGAACTCAAACGCATTTTTCGAGAGGAATCTAAGGATGAAATCGATATTGAAGATTCTGAGCCCATTTCAAGGAATGAAAGTGTATTCGAACAAATTAAACATTTATATTACCTGTATCTTGGTCCTTCAATGGTAACAACCTAACTGTTACTGACGTTTCCCGGAAATAGATTACACCACAGTTTAAAAATACGTTATATACTTAAGTAAGGTGATGAAATAGAAATGAAATTAATCAAATAGACGGTATATATTTCACTGCAACATATTAATCCACTTAGTTTGTTTCCTGATATGCATGACGACCACAATATACATTTTTCATCCTGTTTGCATAAACTAAATTTTTCATGTAAGAGTTTTAAGATATTCTGCTCTCTTCTTAAGTTTCAGTCGGGCTTTTTACAGGTTTCGCTTACATTCTATAAAGCAATTCTTCCGTCAATTTCCACCCGATGAAAGAGTTGAAAACATTTGAGTGAGAAAATATTTTATTACCCCTAACGGGAAGAGCTGAAATCTCTGAGGATCCCTGCTTTCAATATAACTTAAATTGTTTCCTTTTTTATCGAGAAATTGCAATTCGTCAAAAAAGTGTGGACACAAAAGACATTTACTTCTGGTTGTATCATAACTCCCCCCAGTGGGTTAAGAATGATCACTTGAAAGGGCTTTTAAAAACAAAATTTTTTTTTCTTAGTTCATTTTGCACTAGTCAGTCGCTTCACTAGTCAGAAAAAGTAGAACGTAAGAATTGTTCAGTTCTTAATGTTTTTACCTTTGCAAATGAGGGATCTAAATTAACTTCCAGGCAGGTGACCTGGTTCTTGCTTTAAATGTCAGTCAGCTTTTTAGGTGCGAGAGCTTCAGGCGCTAAACAGGCTTGAAAACATTCTTCCGTGCAGAGTTAAGGAATTATTGTATCGAGCGTTTGCTCTGCCTCATTTTTAATACTGCAGTCAGATATGGCATCATTGTGGCTCGAGAAACACAGAGAAAATAGAAAAAGTAAATGAACGTGCATTAAGACATGCTTCAAAGAAAAAATATCAACATATCATTAACTGCTAAAGCGAGTAAGTTTAGAAAACCACGCAAGAAAACAGTCGTGTCCAGGACATGTTAACAACCATAAACGCCTGTTTCCAAGGCAACGCGCGCCCCCACATGCATCAAGGAACTTGTTAAAGTAAGAAATAATAATTTTGATTTAAGGGGAAATAATATGCTATCGCTACCAAAAGTAAATACCACAAAGCATGAATTGAACTCTTTTAAGTTTTTCCCCGTAAAACAATGGAATGGGATTCCAAATGAATTGCGCTTAAACTGAGCTCGAGGCAGGGAGGAACATTACGTTTTTAGTTACTTAAATCTTGTAATTTTGTGGAAAACCTGTAAGCTATCTTCAGCTTAGTGTTTCTACCCACGTTAAACAAAGATTATTACGTCACGAAACAGTGCGGATGTTAATGCAAGACATTTTGCCCTTCCTCTTTGGCAATGAATCTACTCAAAACTGACCAACTCTCGTAGACAAGGTATTGATCATTTTGTAATGGCTTTTCTCAATGTCACTGTCGATGACTTGTTATTTATTTTAGACAAATTAAAAACGTCCCTAACACTGCTTTCACTCTACGTAAATGCAAATAAAATAAGATAAGAATTGTGAACGCCTGTAAGTCAAAATCTCAACTGGAATGCATTGGTTTATCGCATAATCCACTGCGTGTTTACGTTTAATATATCATTCTCACTTAGTGAGTCTTAAAACTGAGTTAGAGTATTTCTTTAGTTCCGAAAAACTCGAGAGAGGGTAGCAGTCAGTTCTGTCAATTTTTTTTTTTTTTTTTTTTTTTTGTAAAATTGTCTCAGACAAATACCAATCGTTGGTAATAAGTTATTCACTATATCTTTTGTTCAAAAAATTTATAATAAAAGTTTTGACTGGCAACTAAGACAATTGTAAAACGAAATGATTTTGTATCTATATTGTAACTGATAAGGAATTCGTTCCGATATTTATTAATTTCCACTTTGTTTTCTCGGAATGTCTTGATTAGGTTTAGGTGGCAGCTTTATAGAATATAGACCGTCTTTCTTCGCAACAAACGTTGACATGCAGGCCGGCTGATTCTGTTAACAAAAATAAATTGGTAAAAAATTGAGTAACACAATAAAAAATAATCTCACAGAGTTTAGCTAAACATAGGTTGGAAACAGATATTTTGTCATTAGGTATAGGCTTGTTGTTTCAGATTTCTTAAAATTAGAATTCTTTCCACAAACACGTGAACATATTTTTCTTTATCTTTGTTTTTCTGTCATCAGGTACATCAGTTGCCTATCATTATCAGAACAGAAACAGAAACAGAACAGAATACAATAAAAAAAAATGCATACCTTTTAAACGTGTACTTTTGCGCAGTTCACGGGCCACAAGAGCTGTTACCAAGATGAACATCATTCCCAAGGAGCTCATCTCTGTAATGTAATTGTTACATATTTAATTAGCAATTCAGCAGCCTCTTTCCAACTGGTACGCCTTTCTCAACTCTTTTTTCCGTTTTTTAATCATAGTTTTCAAGATTAGACGTAAGCATGAATTAAACAGAACAGAATGCATTAGAGTAAAGAGCTCCTACCTTTTAAACGTGTGCTTTTGCATTCTCGGGCCACAGGAGCAGTGACTAAGATTAACATCAGTTCTAAGGTGTTTATCTCTATAACACAAATTTTAAATAATTAGCAATTTACTTGCCTGATTGGAGCTGTTATACTTTTTCAGTTTTTTTTTTTTTTCGTTCAATCAATTTCATAATTTTCAATATCGAACATTAGAATAAATTGGTGGATTGAAAACATTGAATTCAACCTAGCCACAAAGCCATAAATTGTCCAAGAGCATGGATGCGTCTCTCATGAGTAAAGAGGTGGAAGTGGTAAATATCCAAGTGACCTAATTTCTGTGTAACCTTTTCAAAGGCCTTATTAATCAAACAGAATTTGATTGCTAATGGAGGTTTACTTTATGTCTTTGCACCCAATGCTGTTGGCGATGTTGTTGCTACTGTTATTGTTTTTGTTGTTGTTGTTGTTGCTTTTTTTTTTGATAGAAAAGAACAGGAATAAATCTTATCACCATTTTTCGCATGGAGGGTGGTGTTGTTCAGTGTCTGTAGTGCTCTAGAAGGTTGGTTGAGTTCTCCTCTGCTTCTCTTCTGTAAGATAAAAATAGTAAATAAATTTGTTTATTTTGATACATACTTTCGAGTTTCTTGAAAATCTTGATTTCAAGACATTATGTTTCCTTTTTGCCATCGGCTCGGAACGTTGACCCTAATCTTCCCTCTGTCGTACCAAAATAGTTCCGAAGTTAACTTACACTGTGCTGGTTAGTGAGGTAACTGATAAAATGTTCCTTTTCAAGCACATGAATTTTTTCACATCCTTGCAGAAAAATAGTTTATGGATTGGTGCCTGCTTGTGAAAAATATATTCGAATGAGTGATGACAGTTTGACCGTTTGACCGTAAGGAAACCTTTATTAATTATAAGTTCTATAGTATATCGGATGGTTCGAGCTCCTAACACTCCTCGCTCCAATTCTCTAACCCTCTCCCTTTAACAACCTTTGTCTCCAGCGCCACAAATACATAGAAAATTCCATATCGTAGACCTGCCTGTTCAAAATATGCCACTAGTTCTGTGTTCGCCTGATCTCTTCCGTGCGATGCTGTTATTCCACAAAAGAATGCTTGCTTCGATTTGCTGACATGCTCGATGTTAAATTGGCAATGAGGAAAGCCTGTAGAATTTTCAAGCGAGTGCCAGGCATCTCTTGCTGTAATCTTCTGTAAATCGAAAAATATAAAAAATTAATTAACGTGAGGGCCTTAGCTGTAGGGGAACGATGCAGAGATTACACGCCTTAAGAGTCCTACCATGTTTAATCTCAACTGAGGTCAAGGTAAAAGAGGGTTAGCACCTCCACATCTGATCACTGAGGTAATCGATGATCAGCGAGAGGAACCGAGCCTCATTCTGAGGCCAAAACCAGATGATTCATTTCCCACAAGTGCTTCGAGATGTAGAACACCCCCTTATAAAACGAACTAAGTGTATACCTGGACTTTGTTTCCTTTGACTTTCCATCCAGTTTCAATGGGGTTGATTTCAATTCTGATATCTTCGTTACTGTTTGACACAAATAAACCAGCAAGGGTTGTTAACAAGTTGTTTCCAAAACTCTCCTCTTTGTCGCAGACGTTCTGTTTGATGGAAAGAAAGAACTCTTTAGATAACCTGCAATATTTTGTATCGAAAATGAAGACAATAGCCCTTTAGTAGTCTCGTGGCATCAGCCATTGCAACCAGGAATTGTTACTAAATCTATTTCCTCAGCCTTCAAAAAATTGTTTAATCCGGCATGGTTTCCCTGGTGATTGCCAACCACAACTTATCTATATTTCAAGAGAAAAAGGGGCTCCATGGAGGTTAAGTTTGTTGTAAATAAACAAAATTGGACTCAAATTTAGGCCTTAAGCTGAAGTCTAGGGATGTTTTAAATTTTAAGTGTAAGTACCATATGTATTACCTTAAAAGCTATAGTCGAGTCATCTATGAGATAAACCTTTAATTTCCAGTCCCTTCCTTGGGTCGGCTTTTTTCCAAAGATTGCCATTTTCATTCGTTTCTGGTCTTCTGTTCCTGGAATTCCAAAAGCTGCAATTTCAATGTCCTCCTTCAGTTGAGGAAGAGTCACAAGAATGTCGTTATGTTTCTGCTCTACTTTGGCATCTGGAACAACCTCATTCACTTCTCTCCAAACGCACGAGTTTGTAGTATTTCTCTCTTGGTAACTTGATGGTGTTCGACATTTGACAACAAGTTTCCATTCGTGTCCACGCACTACTAAACAACTGTGCTCGATTACAACGACAGGAGGAGCAGTGTTGCTTTTGAAGGCTTTGTATTTGCCACTGACTTGGCACATGACTGGTTTCCAAACCTCATTATTTGCTGATTCTAGTAAACCAAAATGTTATAAGAGTCTATATATATTCAATGTGGGACTCTGTTCCATTATTATTATTATTTTATTTTATTTTATCTTCGTTCTTAAACTAATGCACTTACTTTGAGGCCGTAAAAACTCTTGAGGCTTACTTGATCGAACCTTGGATGATCCTCATATGATGAGGTCACTTCCGTTCGATATTTCAAATCAGCCAACGCGACAGTTTGAGTACAAATTAGCATATTAATCCTTTTCTTTTAAATTTGATTCTTTCTTCCAACATCTCCGACAATTTGAGCGCTTGAAATATTTCATCCTCGAAGTCCATCGTTGTACATCCGGTCTTTCTTAAGTGAACATTTGCATACATAACACACTGTCATATTCTCCTCTTTTTCTTCAGTTTTCATCGACACTGATGATCAAATGTCGTTGAAAAATTATACATCTACCCTTAAAACATAATTTTGGATTTGCTTTCCGTAGTCAAAATAGCTTGATTTAAATTTTTTAGTCTCACACTCATTAAAATTGTGCACCCTATAAAAAGGAAAATGTTTAATCTCACCATTTCCCATACAGAAATAGTTTGTTTTAACTCCGCAGAGTGGCAGTTAGTTGCTTGAGTCGTCTGCGCGCCTTAAGTACTGCAACTATTTGACGCCAAACTCCAGTTTATATCATTTATACGGATGGTGTGCTCAAAATAGACCTTATGGTGTAAACATTACATCAGAACAGGAAGGTCAAAGTCAATTTCGTTTGAACAAGTACACATTGTTAGATCAGAATTTAATATTAATACGCTTTGACGATAACACTCGATATTAGCATTTGAAAGAACCGAAAATAAAAAGGGGTTTTTCCCTTGGTTTCAGGTGACATCCCACGCACTGAAAACATTTGTACTTTGGTTGTCACCTGAGAAACAAACAGTTGCTTGCTTAAGCACATCTCTTTGGTTTTCGTTTTCTAAAGAAATGTTTCTGAATTATCAAACATGTACATTGCGCTTCTTTTAAGATTGAAAAAAATGACAGCCTAACATTGGTTTTGGATCACACTCTTATAAACATTAGGTTAAACCAGGAATAGCTTTGTATTTCAACAAAATCTTATAAAATACTTGAAATGTTTTCATCTTTTGTTTTTCAAAGGGATTTTCCCTTCTGAACAATAAACTTTCGTGATTCTACCCGGTCACGAAGTCTGGTAAAAAATAGAAATTCTTAAGAATAGTAGTTAATTTAGAAAATGAAACTTCATTTTCCTTATTTAGAACAAAAGTTTTCGGACCGTACGAGAAAACGAACAGTCACGCGATTCTGAAAAAAAAAAAAAAAAATCAGCATATTTATGCATTGTAAGGCGGTAAAGTAATAGAGGGAGACTTGCTAGGTTTATAACTCACAGGAAGGCAAAGGAGTTAAAATTTCTTATATACTGTCTATTCAAAACGATTCGTCCACCCTGATAAGTTGTGAAGATAAGGGAAGAGAATTGAAGAGATACGAAGAGAATTGCAACACTACTGAAGTTGACCGACAGCTAGAGATCTAAAGACTTGTTTTGAAAGTTTTGAAGGTCAACTCCTTTGGCTAATTGGTAGGTTCTTTATGGAAATAGGTGAATGTATTTAAGAATATTTGTGTTCTTTGCATTGGTTACCTCTGGGGTCGTTTGAAAGCGCACCCTTCGTTAAAGAGCCGGTTGAATATTCATTGAGGATTGTTTTGGTGGTTTGTATTTATTTGAACCGATTTGAATTTGATTTCGACTATATTTTCGTCTTATAGTCTCTTTCTTTAATGTCAGAGTGGAACTGATGCGTTAAAAGTGCTGTGTAATAAAATAAAAGGGAAAACCCCTTTCGGTGGCGCACGAGGAACATTAAAGGAATACGTTTGTAAATGAAGCAAGAGAAGTGTTTCCTAGTCAGGGAATTTTTATCTAGCAAATTTAGCTATTTCCTGCCAGTTCATGAATTTCTGAGTAAAATTAAACGCTTTTATGCGTGACTTCTAGGAAGTCCAAAGCGGAACTCAAGGGGATTCCCCCGAAACACAAAAAGCAGATAAAGACTAAGCCCTAGCATAAAATCACACAACCTCAATCGTATTCCGATCATTTGTGTCTCAGCTGAGAGAGGAGGTGTGTTATAGAATATCTGTGAACTCATCAGAATAGGAAAGAACTATCTCAGAAAAGAAAGTGTAAGGCTAATACAATTAGGGAATGGCTCTCTGTGGTGAAAGGTGATTATCTACACTCTAACGTACTTAATCTATCATACGCAACCCACTCATGGCCGTATTAGTTCGTAAAATATTCTTTACCGTAGCGCACTACCTCTGATTTCGATCGGTGTGTTTGCCGTCTCGAAATCGTCAGATGGAATGAAAATTCGGAAATGAAGAAGACCGGCCGCACTCTCGTCATAAATAAACTAAAACTTCACGTGAGCAGACGCTTCGGTTTGTCTTTTGAAAGGATGTTATTGAATTCAATGATGCGTATTTTACCGTCACGGGATTTGGACACAATCACGCTATTTTAAAGTATCTGTCAGGGAATACCCAGGCTACGACTTTCATGATTCGTTTCAGTGAGAGACAAGAAAATAATCGAGTTTTTACTTTCTACATGTTTAAACGTATTTCTCCTGGTTCCAGTTTACGAGTGAATAAATCGAAAGTGCTGTGTTATCAAAATACAAAAGGGAAAAACCCCTATCTTGACCCATCTAGCTAAAGCTACCGATAAAAAAAAAAACAAATAAATAACGCAAAGAAAAGGAACTCGTCTCGACAATTCAGTGAGCGTGTTAACTGCCGAGATACCAAAACTGTGAGCCAGAGAAATTGGAAAAGACCAAGAAGAAACCAAATCATCGCGAGGGCGTGTAAGTTCAGTGAATCTGTTGATCAGTTGGTCCATCCTATCTAAACCAATTGCTTACGATGAGATTCGAAAATTGTTGATATCACGTTAGTGATGTTATTCTTTATCAAGTTCATCTCAGGCATATAGCGATTTGTGGTTTCACCGGGCTGATCTTTCAAGCTCTATCGGAGGGTGTTATTCTTATCTCGCAGCTTGTTTATGTTCCAAACAGAGAGATATTACCCTTTAGCCTGTATTGTAGGTAGCCACAGGACGTGCGCCATCTTTAAAAGGACAAAAAAAAAAAAAAAACAGTGAAGGGAACATACGGGGATAACTTGGGAGGAAAAGGAGACGGAATTTTTGTCTCCCTCCCCTACCCCCTCGCAACACATAATTTACTTCCTATCACTCATTCCCAGGCCTCCTCAGTCGACTAAACCAACATGGCTGACTAAGGGTGCGCAATATCGGCAAGAATAGCACACGATTAATTCAGTCTTTCAATTAGGCACAAACTAAGCTGTTTACCTACTTAGCTCGGCACTTTCGCTTATCTGAATATGTTTTCTTCCCTCTTCTAACAGAAAGATGTCTGATGACGTGCCGCTGGTGAGACAACGAGCATGCTTGGGTGAGAGCTGCGACGATTGTTATATCATAGATATGTACAGCCTTGTACAACCGGGACAGCATGACAACGCTAAGCTTCGCAAGCAGCTTTTCCTCTATATGACCAAAGATGGAGGCCGGCAGAGAAAAAGTTTTCTACAGGTATCTCTTAGGAAATGTAATGAAGAATATCGTTGTCGATAAGAGAACAGACCACGCTAAGCCACAGTCAATTTGGCTTTTACCACGATATAGACGTCAAATGAAACGATTCTTTCAGTGGCTGACACTTTGCGAGCAGCGTTATCTGTACCCTTATCGACAACGGCAAATTGGCCAATCAGATCGCGAATTTTCTGCCAATTGTGGTAAAACATAACGTTCTGTGATGCTTTCCTTCCAGGAGAGATGTTGGATCATGGGTCACTTCTCTCCAAATATCTAAAGAACCTCTTGATCAATTTTTAACCAAATGGAAACTTCAGCAGACCACATCGGTTGCGAAGATGAAATGTTCTGTAAGAAACCGAATAAAGCACTTACAGGGGGTGGGGTA